GCGATGTACGCCATTGTTGTCACATGCATCAGGCCATAAATTAAATAGTTTAAATTTATTTTCAATGTTAGATGTTTGTGATGTGGCAGTACTTATTTAAATAAATAAATAAATAAACTACAAAAACAACCGAAACCACTCTTACGAAAGACAACTCAAAGAGCAATGACTAACAAGGTAAAGTTCTAAAGAGATCTTTTACCGATTTTCGGGTGACTGGCCCGTAGGTCTGTTCCGGGCTAGTGGACACCCTTTCGATGAACTACGTGCAACGCTTGCGACCCTCCGACGCGGGTCAATTCTTTCGACTCTTCAATACCATAAGTAGAAAAGGCTACTTGATAAATTTGATGGTGTTGCGTTGCATTTGGTAATCTTTATCTATCTTTATATGATGTTTCGGTAAACTTATTGAATGCATAAAGAATTTTTTTTCCCTACCTAAGCTGATGGCCTTAAGAGGCCATTTCAGCGTAAGGTGAGCTCACAGGGCTCAAATGTGATGACGTTGCTAACACTAACCCAAAGATCCGGATCCGAAGCGCGACCCACTGAAAAGATCCGGCGAGAAACTCAGTGGGCTGTGTCTGTGGGTTAATTTACTCGCCAAGCTCTTCGTCGACGGTTCGACGAAAACGATGGCTGATGCTTGGGGTACTTAAAAGCACCATTAGTGGATCGAGAGGATCCGAAATGACGTGTATAAAGAACACTCTTCACAATGTAGTACTGGAATTTCTTCGTACGTCAATACTAAAAAAAATCACAATAAAAACAATAAATTTTGCGACGTAACATCAAAAAAATCAGACCAGGTTCTCTCTCGCACTCGCACGTCTCGCATGGCGTGAATAAATGAATAAATGTAAGTTTACCCTGTTCAATCGCCGTAAAAGTGGCACCTTCAGCGTTATCTTCTTTTCTCGTACGATAAACCGTATAGAAGTATAAATTTATCTATTTTTAGTATCACTTTTTCGTTACCTCGAAGTTTTCTCTTTATAAACGTAGAGCGTATTGTTAGGCCGCACTGCTTGCCTGACGTACCACCATAAAACCTCTTTCTATCGCAAAGCAGTCTTGTGTCCCAATTTGAAGGGTGATATCTCGCGCAGTGGCAATTACGTTTTGAGGTCTGTGAGCTGTATATACCAATTTTAATGTTTTATATATTGCTGAGACGGGGGGATGAGCTCTTGGCTACCTTAAGTGTTCACCAGGTTACCTTGAGACATGAGTTTTAATCAGCTCTACATTATAACGGCTGGTCCACGTTTCGAACCAAAACGAATAAGTACTTCGCATAAGTAAGCAGAGTGGTAGTACCCACCAGTGCGGGCTCACGAGACACCGTACCACCAGTATGTAATTACGCAAATTATATTCATGCTGATTACCTTCCTACTAAACGATGTTATTCCTTCATCGTGGAAGTCATTAGTGAACATGAGTTAAAAACGTATTACGTTAAATAGGGTAATGAGCTTAATCCATCCAAGCAATTAAAAACAGGCCGTCGCCTATCCGTTAGAGGTGATGTATTACTCTGCTGATATCATAGAAGACCTAACAGAAAAGATGCGGCTACACGGGTTCTGGCGTTGTCTAGTGAAGACTAGTTTTCAAATAACTATCAGTATTTCATCTCCGAGTGGTAGAGGTAGGGCTTTTAGCTGATTGCCGGCTCCCGGATGGATTGTCTGACGCGACAGCAACACAGCCATCGATACAATGTAAGCTTTTACAGTTTGCGATGTTGTAAAAAGTTATTCGCTAAGACCCAGCTTTATCGAATATGTCGTAGATAACGACTTTAGTAATATTAAGACATTGTTTTGATCATTATTTTAAATGATAAAATGTTGTTTTGATAAATATCACAAAAATGTAGGGTAGATGCGGTAACGCCAGAGTATAAAATGGCGGTACGTGGACAGAGTCGGCTCAGTCAGTCAGTCTGTCAGTTGAAACAAAACTGTCGGTTTACCCTGGCATTGTGAAAATTATTTTTTGAGAGTTTCAATAATTATTATTCAAAAGGTTTTATTGACTTTTATTGCAATAAACTGAGTTCTACCGAATACGAATGATGACGGAAACTGCCGCTCAGTCATCCCTGGCGCCATCAAATATATACCGTGCATGCACTTTGATGTCGTGACTATACGAGTGCATATATGTAGTCGTAGTGATGCGTAAGCATACTAACGTCTGAGTTAATCAGGTCACATTTGTTAGTAAACTACAGTACACTAGTCGCGGTCTCCAATGCCTACACAGAGACGGCAATCGAAACATGAATGAGTAAATGAGACAAGTGATGCTATGAATACGTAGGAGCTTCAGACCCAGCTGTCTATACCATAATAGGGGTTTTTTTTTTCGTGCTGGGCGCTGAACCTCCTACGAGGTCCCCGTGCCTAGGAGGCGCGCGGGGTATGTGGGACTTGACGATCTGCAGTGGGCTGGGAGCAGACCGCGGGCCCTAGGAATTTTAGGGCCCACCCACTAAACGATTCCCCTGCACTCTTACACCCGACGTCCGATCTCCGTCCGGAGTCAGAACAGCCTCAACCCCCTTGTGGTGGTACCTACCCGTGCGAGCTCACAAGACGTCCACCAGTAATTACGCAAATTATAATTTTGCGTGTTCGATTTTTATTGCACGATGTTATTCCTTCACCGTTAAAGGCAATCGTGAACATTTGTTAAGTACCTACGTATTTCAATAGAAAAATTGGTACTTGCTAGCGGGATTCGAACACCGGTGCACCGGTCTTATCCTTTAGGCCACGACGACATTTGTTATATTATATATGCAAGATTTACTTGAATCTTGTTTAGATCCGCTTTAAAGTTGCAAATTAACTGACCACGCCCTTATCTGCTACCCCTCATATAGTCCCCTCTGGCTAAGCTTGGAGGCATCGCAATGAAAACCTCATCCATCCGTAAAGGTGTCCGTAGCGCTAGAGAAATACCAGACACGGCACAATACATACCACATCCACAATATATTATTTGAACTGAACTTAAGTTAGCTGAGTGCGTGGACACATTAGTGTCATGTTTGAACGTGGGCAGGATAAAAATAAACAAGTTCAGTGGCTGAGTTAGAGCAAGTTCCGGCGATAAGGATGTGACACGATACAGAATATTCTAATATATACAGGGTGTTTTGGTTTTCTCACAGTATGATGTTTTTTATTGCTCTTAATAGTCTGTATACTTAGTGCGGGTTTTTTAACGTATCGATCGCGTAAAAGTTAACTCAAATTTGTAGGCAGTTGGAACAGCGCCCCTAGCGGCAAACGTAGGCAAACGTTCCAACTCCATACAAATTTGAATTAACTTTTACGCTATCGAGAACGTTAAAAAACTCGCACTAAGCACACCGGTCGATGGCTAGTTTGGTGTTATATGGAATTGTTTATGAAGCCTGTTTATTTTGAATAGCATTAGATTACGTTTAAATCTTCGGAAGATTGATGAAGAGGAAGCCACGATCCTGTTCCAAGTCGAACAAATACTAGACCTCAACATACCATGAAATCCTTCTGTTTATATGAAATAGTTTATATCGTCAAAAATACATAATAGTGTGTGTAATGTTTTTTTCAATTGATTTACTGTATTTTTACGCATAATAAAAATATTAGCATTCTACGTTCCTCTAGACTCTCGTATAAGTGTGGGAAATTTTATACTCCTCCGTCTGCGCGATTTTCGTAAAAAGGAGTTCAAAGTTTTTGCTTCACGTATTAATTTAATATAGATTTATAGTTCGTTTCAAGGAAGTTGCCGTAGTTGCCAGCCCTGTTACCGGTACCGACACAAGCGACCGATAATTGTCAAACAAGCGTCGCGTCGCACAGCGCGGTATTTTTTTCAAGTGCCTCGTTTTCTGTTTGATCTTTGTTCACTAAAATACACACAGATAGGAAACTCACTGTGATACTACTACAATTATATTTCGTAATTCCAGACTGCGTCGATTATTAATTTAACGCACTAATAATATAATAGAAATTGGTTCGTTATTTAGGATAATCTCCGGAAATATAAGAGATGATTTCGCTTCCAGAAATATCCGTGACTCTAAGGGCCTGTGCACACCACGTTTTTTGAGCGCTTTTATCCTACAGGGCGGTTTGTTGTCTGTATCGATACAAACGCGTATTTGAATTTATACAGGTGTGCAAAGGTCTACAGGCTGCGTCTGACTTGCTTGCGTATCGCGTCTGTATCGCTACAAACGCGCGTCGACGGCGCGTTTAAAAAACCTGGTGTGCATAGGCCCTTAGTAGAGGCATGTTTTGGTTGTGTCGTGTGACGTGTCGATTGTGTTGACGTCGTGTGTGAGACTTGTCGATTATTTATTAATTGAACGAACTAATAATAGAATAGAAATTGGTTCGTCATTCAGGATATTCCCAAGAAATTATGGAAATAATTTCGTTTCTAGAAATATATGTGTAAGTAGGGACATGTTTTGGTTTTTGGTTGAAAAAACAAAAAAGTTGCTCTCGACAGTGGGTCAATAGATTAACAACATGTAATAATATTAAAGTAACTCGATATATTTTTTATAAATTACATAGTAAGTAACTTCCCGAATTTCACAAACATTATTAAAAAATAGTAAATTCAATATAAAACCACGTACTCGAATAAGCTGCTAGAAAGATCCTTTTGGTTGTAAAAACAAAAAAAGTTGTTCTCGAAAGTGGGTCAATAGATTAAAAACATGTAATAACATTAAAGTACCTAACTCGATATATTTTTTATAAATTACAGAGTAAGTAACTTCCCGAATTTTACAAACATTATCAGAAAATAGTAAATTAAATATGAAACCATGCACTCGAATAAGCAGCCAGATCCCAAGACAGTGTTATTGTCCTGTTATTAATGTTATATTGAACACATTGCTGCGTTCAGCTTTCAACGTCTTTCGATAATGTGATGGTTTTAGTAAATCTAGCCTCCTTCTCTTCCAGCGCCGTCTGACCCAAAAATACAGCATAGCAGTAGGAGTACCCACTCTAGTCATACGCGGGAGACCAGTAAGAGACGCTCTGTTGGAAGATCCGCTGGGCGAAAGGTTTCCATGGCCTGCTCCACCTTTAACGGAAGTCCTCAGAGGAATTCAGCTTCAAGGTGAAGGGGAGACGAAGCTGTACGAGGATCTGCCTGGAGATGCCTTGAGAGTATTCTATTTTGCTGCTCATTGGGTGAGTTTTTATATATTTTAATTCTAACAACCATCAGGTTAATCTTAGATCGGTCAATCGATTTGGCGTTATTAAGACCACCGATATCTAATTGTAAATAAATAAATATACAATTAGACATTATGAATGACAGTACCTTGTTGATGTTAGATAGACAGCTTTGTATGCACGGGTTTGTACTGTCCTCCTTATTTCTGGCTCGAAGCAGTCGTGTGCTCCGCTTGAAGAGTTGGATGCCCGTTATTTATTTATTTTATTGCTCTAGTGGGTGGACCAGCTCACAGCCCACCTGGTGTTAAGTGGTTACTGGAGCCCATAGACATCTACAATGTAAACGCGTCACACACCTTGAGATATAAGTTCTAAGGTCTCAAGTATAGTTACAACGGCTACCCCACCCTTCAAACTGAAACGCATTACTGCTTCATGGCAGAAATAGGCAGGGGCGGTGGTACCTACCCGCGCGGACTCACAAGAGGTCCTACCACCAGTAATGACTTAAAGGTCTTAGTTACCGGGTCATAAGATCCCTTAGTGATAAATAATTGAGGAATTCTGAAAGCACGTTTGGTTCCAGTGTCCCCCATGTCGGACGTTCGCTCCGAGCCTCTGCGCGGCGCTGTCAGCAGTACGCAAGCGGCGTGCGAAATACGCCAACACGCAGCTCATAATCGTATCTAGTGACAGGTAAGATTGTAAAAACTATAAGTGGTTACGTGGATAGTTTTCGCGATTTTCAATAGCAGCACACGAAGTCAAAAAGAAAGAATAAAGAATATATTTGCAATAAACTGAAAATAATATTGGCTCGCCAAGGTAAACGTAAAATGAGATGCTTTTCTAGAAAAAAGAGAACCTTAGAAAAGTCTGCACGAGACCTCATCACAAATTAATAATAAAAACGGAGGGACAAGTCACAAGGAACAAGAAACTTAAATACCTCTTGTGAGTCCGTACGGGTAGGTGCCGTGAAGCAGTAATGCGTTTCGGTTTGAAGGGTGGGGCAGCCGTTGTAACTATACTGAGACCTTAAAACTCATATCTCAAGGTGGGTGGCGGCGTTTACTTCGTAGATTTCTATGGGCTCCGGTAACCACTTAACGCCAAGCGGGCTGTGAGCTCGTCCACCCATCTATGCAATAAAAAATAAAATTAAACACGCACTTAAATAAGTTCAAATATAGACATATAGCACATATTAAACACACAGACAAAGCTCAAACAAATTCTTTCATCACACAAATGTTTGCCCGATGCGGGAGTCGAACCCGCGATCTTTAGCCCAGAAGCTAAAGGCGCTAACTACTTCACCATCGAGTCAGTCAAAACGTCACGTAACGTAACGCGATTTGGGGCTAAGAGAGATGACAAGCTAACTATAGATCACGCACTGATTGAGGGAATATATAAACTGTTTTCGCTGATCCAACATTGAGTTTGGCCCAAAGTCATGGCGTAGCCGCTGCTCAGTACCAAGGATTCTTTGCAAATTACCTTTAAAGAAATACATTTCATAACCCTCTAAGAACACCAATGAGGAGAGACAATTCTATAATGTTGAGTCTCAATATCGCGTAAGGATTAATTAGACATGTGTTCAGCTAAGTGATTAACATATATTCGGTTTACCTAACGTGCTATCGACAGCCCGAAAATCCTGAGACTGACGTAGCTATATCGACGCTTGGAAGGCAAACACGACTAAGCGACAAGGCTTGAACTTTACAGTAGACTAATTTAAAATTGAAAATACCTGAAAAAAATATCTATTTTAACGAATCTAGCTGTAGGATTGAAATGATTTTAATAGACCTAGAAATATGTATATATTTTCTTGCCCATCGAATACGGTTATTGCCTATCATTTATGTACAAAGCAGTTATTGTCGCTTAGTCACGTTTGCCTTTCAAGCGTTGGTATGTACATAATGATAGATAATATAGGAACGTATCTAGTTCCTACATTACGTATCTTAAACTGTCCATACAGAATCCAGTCGTTCTGTATAGCAGAAACAAAGTGTGCCCTTGCTATTGGAAAAGTGAAAAAAAGATGTGTGGTGTCGCGGAACACCGGATAGGAACGAAGTTCCTTATTATAAAATATTAATTTTAAGTTCTATTCGAGGTATAAAGAAGATAATTATTCGGGTATACATTTTTTATTATGATTTTTTTATTAATAAAAAAAAAAACTTTACAAAGTTATCAACTTTATTTTATTCACGATGATTTATAAAAAATACATAATAAATATATGGTTTTTTTTGTAGGTTATTACAAAGTTAAGTCGTACACTGTGTGCATTACTAATAAAAATCTTACGTTACGGACGTTTTTTCCCGGTTAGGGTACCCCTCCGCATCGTCCCATAAGGAACTTCGTTCCAAAAACCCATAATTTTGCCGCGTATTGTCCACCAGAATAATTACAATAAAACGAAAGCCCATTTCAAATCCAAAGTAATTCAATTAGCATGTTTTCCGTTCGAAAAAAAACGCTTTTAAGTCCGTAATAAAATTTCGCTGCAACAATGGCGACCGTTTGTCTCATTGTTACGTATGATTAAAAGCGAGGGGTTATTATCCTCGAGCGTCGCTCTATATACGAGCCATTACTTGTCTGTTATTACGTTTATCATTGGTAGATCTTAGTAATTAACTCGAATAGAGCGTAGATTGCTGAAAGCGTTATTTTGTAATAAAAGCACAAATTATCTTTGACGCTTTCATCTAGTAGCTTAGACTTCTATGACTAAGAAATAAATGAAACAAGCATTATCTTTTAATCAATGTTTTAGTCTGCGGAACCAGAATATCTAACGATGAAGCAAATTTTTATCGCGTACTAACGACCCGCCCTCGCTTCACTTCAGAAACTGTAATTTATTATTGATTTCTCCACTATTTAATGAATGTTATTATTATACATATAAACCTTCCTCTTCAATCACTTTATCTATTAGAAAAACCGCATCAAAATCCGTTGCGTAGTTTTAAAGATTTAAGCATACATAAGGATATAGGGACAGAGAAAGCGACTTTGTTTTATACTATGTAGTGATATTGAGGTAGTCAGCGCAAAAGTGGCCTAACCCACAATTCATATTCGGGCTTATGTGTTGCAATTTATTTAAAACATAATAAATGTTGATACAAAATCGGCCTATCCCTAGTTTCATCCATAGATAACAGATCTATGTGTAAACATCATTTTAGCGCGTATTGTTTTTGCCTACGAAGCAGTGTAAAAGTAATTTCGAACCTCATTAACTCCATACTAACTATGGTAAGCTTAGGCCACTTTTGCGCTGACGGCCTAATAGTACAGGATCCCTGGTACACGTTTCATCATTTACTACTAACAAGCTGATTTTTCGTGAGTAGCTTCCTTTTGACTAGACGCCCAACTTTTTTCCTTACCGTAACGTTGGTAAGTGGTAGCTTACTAGGGGTAGCAAGGATAAAATATGTTGATTTGACGAATTTTAAAAATTTATTACTAACCGAATTTTTCTTTGTCAATTATCGTGATAATTGTCTAAATAACGTGAAAAAATATTTGTCCTACAAAATATAAGGTTTTGTTAGGAAGTCCCCCCTCTCCAACATGTATCATAAACAAGGTCATGAAAAATAATTACTAACCAGCTGATTTTTCCACATAATTTTTTCAATGCTTTCCCTCGAATCGCCTTCAAACACGTCTCTTCGAACATAAATCAAGAGAGACAATTCGTGTGACAAACTTTTTGGACAGCGAAATAAATCTTATCTCAATAGATTTATATGTAAAATTGGAAAACATAAATTTTTCGTGTATTCAGTAGAACCTTTTTTTGGGAGGGGGTCGAGTCTCCGCATGATCCCCGCGGCGAGGGGGCGCGTTGTGTATGGGGGACCATTGTGGCCGATCACTAAACGAAGTATTTAGTTTAGAGCAAGGATGAGCAACACGCGGCCCGCCAAGCATTTCTATAATTGAATTTTCTCATAATGAAGGAACGGTTAGATTTCACCAGGTGTTTGTAAACAATCAAAATAAATAAGACAAAAGCATCAACTAGATCAAAAGATTGCTGTATTTATGGAATACTAGTAGTCGAAATTCGACTCTAATCAATTGAAATTTAAAGTTTAAACATTATTATGGTTGTCAAATACTATTATACTTATATAATATAACTAGCGACCCGCCCTCGCTTCGCTTCGGAAACATTAAAACACACATGAAACCAAAAAAATAAAATAAAAAAAAATTTAAAAAAAAGTAGCCTATGTTCATCAGGGACAATGTCGGCTTCTAATGGAAAAAGAATTTTTCAAATCGGTCCAGTAGTTTCGGAGCCTATTCGAAACAAACAAACAAACAAATCTTTCCTCTTTATAATATTAAAGTATAAAGTATAGATCACAGATTTCGCCAAAACTATTTATCGACTTTCTCCCATCAATTCGTTTTTCTGTTTTTTTCTTGTTTGTTTTTATCTTCCATTAAAATTTTAATATGAAATCTTTACTTTTTTTTTGTTTTTTACTTTTTTAATTCTAATATTTATTATAAATAAAGTTTCGTAAATTATTAATAACAGTTAATACAAGTGCGGCATACCAAAAAAAAAATTTGAATTGGCCCATTAATTACTACTTTAATACCTACCTACTTTAATGATTTTTTGTTTTTTTTTTTACATTCAGGTCTCTCATGTGCTCCTAATTAAACTTGTTTACATTTTTTTAATGTTAAGTATCTACGAGATAGTGTGTACAGAATTAATCCCAATAGGCTATTGACAAATAATTGACATTTTTAACAACGTCATCCAGCTTAAAGTAATGACAAAAAGTCTCAAAAAATATGAAAATAATAATTGCCTTATGAAACAGAAAATTAAATTATATTTTATCGGAGGCTCCATTTCGGGCAGCGCCCGGTAAGGATCATTTGAAATTTATTAGTATTCACGGCCCTCTCCTAAAACATTCACTTTTATGGAAAAATCTTTTCGAGAGGAAAAATATCTTGAATTAATTTCGGGCATGTTTTATGCAACAAATATCTAAGCAACATTTTCTATAATTTGATGATAGCAAACTTTGATAGCCACAGACATTAATCTGAGATTCACTATAATTGAAAATGAATTTGAAAATTTGATGTATGTTCGTAAACATATTGAGGAGTTTCCTAAAAAGTCAGACATACATAATAGAAATACTAGGAACAAACACAAGCTTGTTGTGCCGATGAGTAGGTTACATAAGATACGAAATTCATTCGGGTGTTTGTCTGTGCGCCTGTACAACAAAATCCCACAAGATGTTCAGAACCTACATATACATAGGTTTATGAAAACTATTAAAGAGCATCTGTGCAATAAAAGCTTACTATAAAGTCAATGATTATCTAGAAGATTGCACAAAGTGGGAATGAGTTGCTCGCTCCGGGCATTTCAATATTGTAGTAATTGTTACGTTATAATACTCATTGTAAAAAACTCATATTTAAAAAAAATAATGTAATATTAAAAAATTAATAAATAATAATTT